TTGCTAAAAACGTCCTCAATCTGATTGGGCGCGGGGGAGGAACATTGTTTTGAGGTACGTTTGCTGAGGTCGACCCCTTCCAGCTCTCCCATCCACGCTCGTCTGTCTGGAACAAGTAAACAAGACGAGTGTGGATGGGAGAGTTGGAAGGGGTTGACCTCAGCCAACGTACCTCAATCAGATTGAGGACGTTTTTAGCAAAGGCCAGCTTAGGAGTACCCTAATTAAGTTAATAACAATGTACCTACCTATATAGTTTAAGTTTAAAAAATTTGGCTCTCAAAAGAAATTTCAATCGTTGTACTGTTGATATTTGGCTCTGTTGACTAATGAGTTTGCCGACCACTGGCTTAGGCTATCGTTTTTGCCAAAGTGTTCTGTGCCTTAAAAATGTCTTCATTATTTAATTTTGTTTGTAGGTATTAGGAAGAAATCAATAGTATTTATAGTGCTATCTAGAATTTTATGAGCACATATATCTAACCTGTCCTTGTCTCAAAAAGTTATGTGCCCCTGCCGAAACCGGTTTGGCTCAGTGGATAGAGCGTCGGCCTGCGGACTGAAAGGTCCCAGGTTCGATTCCGGTTAAGGGCATGTACCTGGGTTGCGGGCACATCCCCAGTAGGAGATGTGCAGGAGGCAGCTGATCGATGTTTCTCTCTCATCAATGTTTCTAACTCTCTATCTCTCTCCCTTCCTCTCTGTAAAAAATCAATAAAATACATATTAAAAAAAAAAGTTATGTGCCCCAAAGTGTCCTGCTCCAGAGAGTGAGACTTCCACCCTCCTTCCACCTGGGTCTTCCCCTGGCCTGCTCTTATTTTTCTGTCTTTGGTGTGAGGGTCAGGGAGGAGGATGCTACTGAGGAGGACAGAGCTGAAAACACAACCTGTAGATAAGAAACTGGTAGTTGGCAAGCAATGGGAACTATATTACTGGTTGAAGAGAGGAGAGACCAAACTGAAGTTGGAATTCCTGTATTCCAGAGGCATTTGTTAACTTCCTTCTATCAGGAAGATGAGGAATAAGGCCTCTTTTTAGGTGATGCAGGAACCAAAGGGCAGAAAGGAAAATCAGGATGGAGTAGGCATGAGATTCTGCAGATTTGTAGGATTGTGGGATTTTATGCTTTAAAAAAAAAACTTAAATGTTTTTGTTGATTTTAGAGAGAGAGAGGGAGAGAGAGAAACATAGGTTGCCTCCCACATGCACCCAGGTCCAAACCAAAACCCCAACCTGGGCATGTGCCCTGACTGGGAATCTAACCAGCTACCTTTCAGTGCATGGGCTGACACTCAGCCAGCTGAGCCACACCGGCCAGGCCTGCTTTTTATGTTTTAAATCGGGAGTTCTCAAAGTGTGGTTCCCAGACCAGCTGCTTTGGCAAGTTGTTAGACTTATTGAACCATACATTCTAAAGGATGGGCCCAGCAATCTCTTTGTTAACAAGCCCTCCCACGGGACTCTGATGCCTGCTCAATCCAGAAAAGTCTGCACGATATGTGGGAGCAGAGATCCTGAAAGGGTTACTGGGCCCTCCTCAATTCTCCTTACCAAAGAAGCCTAGCCATGGAGTTCTTTAAAACACTAAAACTGTGGAACTCCTTGAGCTCCCAGTGAAAAATCATTCCACAGAGTAAATTCTCGGAAACTTCTAGGTTAAACAGCTTTAGGTGAAGGGTTTCTTCTTGGTTCCCTCCTGAGGATCTGATGGATGACAGAGATACAGGAAACAGCCTATTATTCACAGTGTGTTCTTAGCAAATGGTAGGTGTTAGATAAAATGTATTGAATATGTGTGAACGTATGTGTGGGATAGTCTCTAGAGTAGTGATCAGCAAAGTATGGCCCACTGTCTGCTTTTGTAGACAAAACCTTGTTGGACTGTGCCAAACCCATCTATTTCTGTATCGTCTATGGCTGCTTTGGGGCTACAGTGGCAGAATTGAGTAGTTGCAACCAAACTATATGCCCTGCAAAGCCTAGAATATTTACCACGATCCTTTACAGAAGATGTGTGGTGGCTCCTGGTCAGAGAAATGCTTCTTAAACCCTAGTGTGCATACAACGCACCTGGGCAGCTTGCTAACAAGCAGAATGATTTATGGGTGATGCCAATGGTGCTCCGCTATGGAGCATCTGGGAGCCAGAGCGCGGAGCATCGGTGCCTGCAACAGCGTCAGGGCTCGTGCTTGTGGCTTTTTTCTCTTCAGCTCTTAAGGATCATTTATGACCCTGCAACTCAAAGCCTGGACCAGACACAGTTGGAGAAGAAATCACTTTATTAGGGAAGGTTCAGTGTTAGGAAATGCCTCTCCCCTGGCTCCGAGGTCCACACTCTTCCAGCTCACCATCCCTTTAAGGCACGTCTCAGGCTCAGCTCTGTGGGGTTAGTTTTTTGGCTACGCTCGGCTCTTCTGAAGAGAGCTAAGCCTAGCCCAGAAGAGTCGAGCCTACCTCTTTATTCCTATAAGTAATCAAATGAAGAAAACATTCCTTAACAGAGCACAAGGCTAAAAGGATTGTACAGAATTGTGAGTGCTTATGATTTCTTGTCTTTATGTGTCTGTGATCACCCTCAGCTACTTGTCCCTCTGGGCAGTCTCCAGCCCGGCCTTGTTTTCTCAGTGGCTCTGCAGGAAGCTAAACCTGGAGAAGCAAAGCTACTCCAGCTAGAACCCACTTGGATGGGTTCTCCTTGGTCTTCAGGTTGAAAGTCCACACGTAGGTGTGTCCCCGCTGACATGTCTTGTATACAGGACAAGCGTAGACACTGCGGCCATCTTGCTTGTCTGCAGGAATGGCCTTGATGAACATCACAGGCATCGGGGGTGTCAGATCCTTGAGCTTGGCCTCTGTAATGACCCCAGCCTGAGGACAAGAACGTGAGGAAAGCCATGTTAGATCAGACCCAGAGCTCAGCCAGCGGCCTGCTCCTGCAGAAGATCCAGGAGATGAGACTGGGAAGGGCTGGCTGCCTCTATGCCTTCCCCTCACAGATTCTTTCAGCAACCTGCAGTGGGATGCATCTGATGCTGCTTTCTGGCCTAAATCACTTTTGCAAGGAGAGTTGCAGAAGCTGACATTTTTCATATACAAATTAATCCCTTTGAGTCTACCTGAGTTTTATTTTTTGATTCATTCATTTCATAAGCATATTGAATGTAACTATTTGCCAGATGTCATGCTAGGTGCTGGGGTAAAGATGAGTAAGACACAGCTGTCAGCAAATGCTTTTGATTGTAAGCCTTTGGCTATATCCTGTTCTAGTTTCTGATGTGACCTCACCCACCCTCTAGAGCAGCCCTGGGCAAACTACGGCCTGCCCGCCGGATCCAGCCTGTTTGAAATGAATAAAACTAAAAAAAAAAAAAGAGACCGTACCCTTTTATGTAATGATGTTTACTTTGAATTGATATTAGTTCACACAAACACTCCATCCATGCTTTTGTTCCGGCCCTCCGGTCCAGTTTAAGAACCCATTGAGTCAAAAAGTTTGCCCACCCCTGCTCTAGAGCATTTTGACTTTTGAGCAGAGGAAGCTATGCTCCATCTTCATCCATAGAATGGGGATCAGAGCTGTTGCTTGTACCCCCTCCCCTCCCTCTGCCAAGCCTGTGTTCTCTGCACCACCCCTGGTTGCCTCAAATGGCTTGTCAACCTCACGGAAAGATTATCTAGGTCAGAAGATTCAGGAATACCCCTTTTAGTAAGCACACCTTATGGGAGGCAGTGTGCATTTAACCAGCTCACAGAGGGTGCCCCGTGGCCCCGCCCAGGATTTACCTGTGCATCCCAGCGAGCACCTTCCATGAAGAGGCCGTGGACATAGGCTCCTTCCCGAGGAGGGCTTCTGAAATCCTCTCTGTTTTTCTTCGTCACGTCACATTGCAGGGCCATCTGGTCCAGTGGCCACTCATTCTTGCGGGCCATGGACTGCATTATGGCGGTCAGAAAGGACTGGGGGTTGAAGAAGCCTGTCAGCCACACCGTGGAGGGCATTGCAAAGTCGCCTACCCAAGCCTCCAACTCCTTGATTCGGCTGAGGAGGTCCAAAAACCAGACGGACAGGCCTGCCGTGGAAGGGTAGGCTCGTCTGGCCCAGGGCTCTGGCACGGTGTCTAGGTACAGGTTGTTCTCTAAGTTCTCCATGTCACTGGTCATGGTCAGCTCCCCCTGAAGACAAAGAATGGGAGGAGAAAGTGAGGGGGCAGCAAGTCCCTGCAAACAGCCAGCCTTGTGGATTTCTGGCTCATGGCCCCCAGGAAGACAGGGGAAGACTCCAGGGGTGGGCGACACAATGACTGTCCCATCTAGTACTTTATTTGCAAGGTTTGTTTCATCCAAGACTGGTCCTTTAAAACTCTCCCTGCTCCAGTTACATCAGTCTACGCCTACCTACTGGTAGTAGTGGACCTGTCCACTGCAGACCTCAAACCACCTGTGGGTTCCATGCCGATTCAACCCCATCCAAAACAAACTCCATGACTCTCCGCCAGCCTTTGCATGCAGCTTAGAAATATGAGGTTACACAGTTTAATTTACAGATGGTTTTCACTGAAAAACTTTCTTTACGAATTTCATTTAGCCATTGGAAGAGGGTTCCTTAAAGTCACCTAATAGTTTGATTTCTTTTTTATTTTTAATATATTTTATTGATTTTTTTAGAGAGGAAGGGAGAGGGATAGAGAATTAGAAACATCAATGAGAGACAAATATCGATCAGCTGCCCCCTCCACGCCCCCCACTGGGGATGTGCCCACAACCAAGGTACATGCTCTTGACTGGAATCAAACCAGGGACCCTTCAGTCCGCAGGCCGATGCTCTATCCACTGAGCCAAACCAGTTAGGGCTAATAGTTTGATTTCTGAAGGAAATCCTTGATTTGGGGGAATATAGATCCTCAGGCTTCAGCTTTGTGTGTGTATGAAGAATGCTCATCTCTCATTCTCTTTTCTCATAATGTCTTTGGTATCAAGTTAATTCTGGCCTCATAACATTTGTTGGAAATTATTCCCTCTGCTTTTTATCTAAATTAAACCTTTTATTTTGAGATAATTGCAGATGCACATCCACTGAGCCAAACCAGGCTGATATGCACAGTGTCCCCTCGGGAATTCGACTGGGAGACTGGGAGTTCCATCGCTCGCTATGACGTGTGCTGACCACCAGGGGGTGGCGTGGAACATGGCGGGCACACAAGGATTCGTTGTATAGTCACATCCGATTTTCTCCTGTCACATCCTTTCTATAACCCCTAGTGACCACTGTCCTAGTTTCCATTTCTGTGAGTTTGTCACTTCAGGAATACTATGTAATTGGAATCATAGAGTTTGAAACCTTTTGGGATTGCCTTTTTTTACTCAGCTTAATTCTTTAAAAATTTATCCACGTTTTTGCATTTATCAAATAGCTCATTCCTTTTTATTTTGGAGTAGTATTCCATAGTATGTGTAGTAGGCAGAATAATAGCCCCACCCAGCTGTTTATTCTGTTTTGGGTATCTATCCTTCTACCCAGTACCACACAGTCTTAATTATCCTATCTATATACTGTAATAAGTCTTGAAATTAGGTAAACTACTTTTCCCCCACTTTATTCTTTTTCAAAATTGTTTTCACTCTTCTAGTTCTTTGTTTTTATACATAAATTTTAAAATAATCTCTTCTGTATCTACAAAAGGTTCTTGCTGTGATGTTGATAGAAATTGCATTAGACCTGTATATCCATTTGAATAGAAATGACATCTTTACTGTGTTATGTTCCAGTCCATGAATAGTATATGGCCCTCCGTTTATTTATATATTCTTTATTTTTTATTTTATTTTATTTTATTTATATTCTTTAATTTCTTTTACGTGTTTTGTAGTTTTGAGTATACAAGTCCTGTATCTGTTATATTTACATGCAAGTATTTTAATTTTTGAGTGGTTAAATGGTTTAAATTTTGGTGTCCATGTTTTCATTGCTTGCATATAGAAATATTATTAATTTTTTTGTGCTTATCTTGTATCCTGTGACCTTTCTGAATATTTTTGGTACTTTCTTTTAGTACTTTAATAATACCTCTCCACTGTCTTCTGCTTGCATAGGTTCCTATAAAACATTTGCTGTCATTTTTTTTCTCCTTTGTATATATTTTCTATTTTTACCTCTGGTTGATTTTAAGATTTTTCTTTACCATTGGGTTTAAGAAACTTTATTGAGGTATCTTTACCTAGTTTTCATTAGACTTATTGTGTGGGACTTGTGCCTATGGGTTTATAGTTTTCATCAAATTTGCAGAAATGTGGTCCTCAATTCTTCAAATTAATTTTTTTCTGTTTACCTTCCCCTGCTCAACCCTTTCCTCCTAGGACTCTAATTATACCTATGATAGATGATTGCACAGGTCACTGATGCTCCATGCACTCATGTTTAGTCTTTTTTTTTTTTTGGGGGGGGGATATAGGTTGATTTTTTGCTCATTGACTATAAAGAAATCATCTTTAATTTTGTATAATTTATTTATTTGACTACATATTGAAAATCAGATCAACCTTAAAGTCCATTTAAAATATATTTTCTTGTGAAACTTTACATACTTCACATTAAAATTAAGAGAGAACTCACAGGTTTGAGTGATATAATGAAAACACATCATAGAACTTTGGGGCATCTTAGTATTGAGCAATGCTACTTTTGGGGGAGTTAGATATCCACACTTGAACATCATAAATTAATTCCATACAGCAATTCACTATTTCCTTGTAGATTGACATGTACAAGAAAGGAAAAGAAAATTCACAAGGCCCGGATGAAAATCAATCTAGTAGAATGAACACATTCTTTTGTTATTTCTTTGGCTTTGGCATCTACCACCCACACACCGTTCATCTAAACCTTTTCATTTGCACAGTTTCCTTTTTGAGTTCCTTTTGAAAGCGTGTCCTACTTCCATCTGCCACCTCAGTTTTCCAGGGTGTCAAGTTGCTCTAAGTGTGAAGGCTTAAGATCTCTAAAGTTCACTGAAACAAGCCAGATTCTCCATGGAAGATGTGGGTGGTTTAGGGACAGATGTGACTGTTTTCGTATCATGTGGTACTTGCGCCAGCCAGACAGGTAAAGCTTCCCATCTGGACACACACGAATTTCATAGAGTCTTTGTGAGCTGCCAGCAGGACCCTGAGTTCCCTGAACCAACGTGGGTAAACATACAGTTTCAGTTTCAAGCACAAGCATCCCATCATTACTATGAAAAAGGATGTCCATTTGAGAAAGGGCCTTGATTTTCCCAGCATGAGCTTGAATATGAACACCTTTGGGGCATCCATGCTTAGACTTCGTGTGGGAGATTCTAATCTCAAGTCCTGAAATGGGTCAGCTCTAACGAGAGGTGTTTCCACTGAAAGTTCAAAAAGAGCCCCTTCAGGCCCAGTAACTCGGAGTCTATCAGCACCAGCCTCAACTTCACTTTCATCGGCAGTAAACAGTGGTTTGCCTTCTTTGGAACTGATCTGAAACTGTTGACTCTGGACTTTTACCATTTTGAGACCACTTCCCCTTAATACCTAACGTTCATGTCAACATTCCATTACTTATTGAGAATCTCTGTAGAGCAGGGGGAATCTGATGAAATCTAAGGAAATACAACAGTACCAGGCAATAATAAATTGTAATGAGTGAATTGACAAATTCCTGACATATAGAATCGGCTGCTCCTGCATGGCCCATGCTGGGGATCGAGCCTGCAACCTGGGCATGTGCCCTTCAGTTCTCAGGCCTACGCTCTATGCACTGAGCCAATCCAGCCAGGGCTTGGGACCCACTTTTAATCTTCCTTCAGAGTTGTGTGCATTTACAGTCACATTCTGAGTAGACTGTAGAGGCAAATGAGTCCCACCCAGGACATACGACTTTTCAATTGCAAACACTCATCCAAGGCTTTGGCGCAGGGAGAGAGGCACAGACTTGAGGTGAATGAGGAGAAGCAAGGCAGGGAGATGTGGCCAGGAGTCCTGCATTGGGACTTTCTTGAGCTTCCAAACTTAAGCAGTCATTTCACCCCAGAGGAGCTCTTTCTTTTTTCCTTTCCCCTCATTTGGATAGTTTCATTACTCTATTTTCACTTACCAATTCTTTCTTCTGCACTACATAATTAATTGTTAATTCTCCAAAGTATTTTTTTTTAATTTCAGATAATATATTTTTCATCTCCATATATTTCACTGTGTCTTTTTTTTTATATCTTTGTTTGCCATTTCATCATGGCCTTATCGTCTTCTATCTTCTTGAACATATAGAGCAAACTCATAATAGTTGTCTCAACATCCTTGTCTACTAATTCCATCATCCCTGCCATTTCTGGCTCCATTTCAATGGATCAGCTTTTCTCCTGGCTATGGAGTCCTGCTTCTTTACATGCCTATAATTTGTTTATTTTATGTCAAATGCTGTGAATTTTACATATGTGAGTGTTAGCTTTTGTTTTATTCCTTTAAAAAGTGCTGGAATGTATATTTTGCTTGTAGTTAACTCACTACAAATCAATGGATCGGTCAGAAGCCTGCATTTCAGCTTTGTGTTAGTGGGAAGCAGGGAGGGTCTAGACCGGCTTTTAGTCTAGGTCCAATTTAGCCCACTACTGAGGCTTCTCCCTCAGACCTCCTGTTGTGTGAGTCTTTTCTACTCTGGCTAGTGGGAACGCAGTCTGTTCTCTGCTTTGTGTGAGTTCTGGTCATTGTTTGCACGGCTCCTTTCTGGTGGTCTTTCCCAGCTTTGGGAGTTTTTTCTCACTCATGTGCGGAGCAGTAGCCAGCCCAGTCTCGGGGTGTGTCTGCAGATCTCTGGAGCTCTGTGCAGTCCCTGCCTTGGGTGTTCTACTCTGCAACTGGACCTTGGCCCCCAGGAGCTCACTTGCTTCCTTAGTTCAGCAGAATTTGGGACTCTTTCCTGAGGCTTCCTCCATACAGTAAGTTTATGCAATGAGGGGCTCATTCAATGAGGGGAAACCTTTCTTGTTTCCTTTTATTCTTCTTTTTTTTTTTAAAGAGGAAGGGAGAGGGAGAGAGACATAGAAACATCAATGATGAGAGAGAATCATTGATTCGCTGCCTCCTTCACACCCCACACGGGACTGAGTCCACAACCTGGGCATGTGTCCTGATCGGAAACAGAATCATGCCTCCTAGTTCAT